CATATGGAGTTTATTAGTGCGCAAAAGCTCAATTTTATTATTCTCAGAGCGTATCTCAGCTCATATTTCTCTCAACTTTGACTCACATAAAGGATCACTCCTCATATATGAAATTCCGTATTGAGCGTCACGGTAGCTTTTGAGATAAACAGATTATATTACGGATAATCGCACATAATAATAATGGCTCATCATCTACGTAGAAGCCAACTACGACGGTGCAAAAACAGAAGCAGACTCGCATAGGGAGCTTACTGCGTTCCCGATTACGCTACCAGATTTCATTTTTGTCCTTTTTCGAGTTCTTGGGTTCAAAAGTAGCCAATGAAGGGAGAACGGGGCAAGAAATTCGACTAATCTGCCGCTCCGCTGCATGCGGTCATAGGCGCAGCGTTTTCTTATTGTTAGTTCCTGTAAGCCTGTCGATTGCAGCACCGGATTTCACGTGGGCTACGAAACTGTAGACAGTTATGGCCAATTCCGGTTCTACATTGCCTGTACCATCAACTACCCGGGAACATTTTCATTTTCGAGCGCGACGTTGCACGCGACGTCCATCAGCGCGGCGAATCACGATTCTCTTGCCACGTACCCGTGGAATATAGCAGCGTCAGTACGACCAGAGGGCGGTCTACGGATAACTAAAACTCAATTCCTTTAATGGCGCCAACTTTCTGTTTTTCTCTGCGCTCTCTTGCCTGGATGGCGATTTATGGCCACTTCTGACCTTTCACATTCCAACTTTTCACGCATACTAAGTGGCTCATCCACCCCTTGAAAACTCATTCCTGGCTCCCGTCATGTTTTTTGTACCTCCCGATGCCTGCAGTCGCACTTATTGCTCTGCGCTCTGGCCTATCGCGGCAGGACCCCCAACAGAAGTGTTGGTTGTCACGTAACCGCAGAAGGCATAGACCAAGCCACCTGGTCTACGGACAACTAAACTAACTCAATCCCTTTAATGGCGTCAACTTTTTGTTTTTCTTAGCGCTCTCACGTCTGCATAGCGTTCTGCAACCGCTCTGACCTTCAGTCCAACTTTTCAGGCGTAATAGGCTTACCCCACTGTCCTCTCCATTGGAAAAAAAACCATCTGCTGGCTCGCGACAAGTTTTTGGAACATCTCAGTTCCTTGGCGAACGCAAATCTTTGTTTCTCTCCGCTCTGGCCTTTCGCAGCGGGACCGCACCAAAAGTTTTAGTTGTCACGTAACTGATTCACTCTAGAATCTGAAACTCTCCTCCAAATGTCAGGTGCCAGCTGAGTAAAACTTGTCCCCACCATTCGATCCTCCGTCAAGCGCCCTACGGCAGTCTAATAATCCGAAGCCCATGTGGGCGCAGTATGTCGACGGAGGGGGGAGAGACATTCTGCTTTCCATAGATGTGCCGACCCATCTAGGTAGCCTTTTCTCGAGTTGACACGTTTTAGGATGGTGGCTAGACGATCTTGCTCCAGCTTCACAAGCGTTCACAAGTTTTACCAGTGAGATTTGTAAACCGGAACTAGGGAAGCAATGGTAGTACAAAATGCCCCCCCCCCCCCGTCGACAAACAGCGCCGCCCATGTGTCCAAAATTAAAGCTAAAGTAAGAACAGCCATCAAGTTGTGGTAGGTAGTATGCAATTGCACCAAAGGTAGCAGCCCGTTCCCACTGGAGAACTGTCGTTTCTTACGACGATCCCTTTACCTCGTCGTCTAAACGTCTGAGATGACAATCTCTCTGAAGCTATACACTTACCTGATATAGGGGGCAAGATGACCCACGAGAATTGAGGGCGACATTCTTCTTCGATTCGACATCAAACGATGGATGCAGTAACCAGTTAAACTTTTGCTTTATCCTTGTTCGTTCCTTCTCATCGCCTTATTAAGTTACCGCTGGGCCAGGTAACAAAACAAGGCTTCTGGTTCGGAAATTTCCACGCTGTCGAATTGTTGTGGGAAATTCTGAGCTACTCGGGAAATCCAATTTTCTGGCACCTTATCTTCCATTTTGAAGACATAATTATGCTTCTAGAATATTTTTTTTCGTCATGGATACATAGCGCTTCATACGTCGTTGATTGTTCCCACTTCTCTGTTGCGCCGCGCGTTTGACTCCCACGCAGTGGTGATGGGAGGGTGCACTTTCCACGTAGTGCTTGCCAGAGCAGTCCAAGGATCCCTGGGAAAAGTCCAAAGCTCTGTTGACTTTTGATTGATCTATCTTCAGTGCTGACTGACCCTTGCTGTGCTCCTACCTAGTATAGAATGCAACCCTCATCCGTTGGGATTTTCCCAACGATAAGGTGCTTAGGATCCAGTTCGACAAGGAGGGGGCTAGCGAAAAGCCCAGCTACAGCAAAAATTATCACAAGTCATAGAAGAACCATTAAAAGTTCAAATAATATTAAAAACCCCGGAAATTGTTGTGAGCAGGGCTACTGAGCAGTAAAGTATCTCGCAAGAACATAAATGTTCAAATAAGGGGCTCTGTAAGTGGTTGTCGATTAGGAATTACAAGAGATCGCTGATCCCGATTACACATCTTGAGCTTTGGTGCATGGTCCTGTAACGAAACCCTGTGACGCAGACGGATAGAGGGCAGCGGCTGCCAAAGCATCGAAACGTGCAAAAAACGTATGGCGAGCCAGGAAACGGGATTTTTCAAGGGGAGGGGACTCCGGGGTGGGTGAGCTACTTATAGTCGGTGAAAAGCTGGAGTGAGCGAAGTCACAACGGCCATAGAGTGCCATGCGAGAGAGTGCAGAGAAAAAGAGAAGATCGACGCGTTCAAAGGGATTGAATTCAAGTTGTCCGTAGACCGCTGATCCCTTAGAATGCAAGACTACCCAAGTCACATGCGTCTGACTATGAGTTAGGTGATGAAACAGTCAGGGGACGACTGGGTGGCCATGGCCGTCACCAAGACTGTGTCTCTGCTCCCAGGGTACAGCATCATTGTGTGAAACATGAGGGGTCGTACTTGGCCGCTGGGAAGGCGGTCGTATTTGATCGCTGTTGGGATAGGGGAGGTCGTGTACGAAATCGAGAGAAATTTGTCGCGTTGGGAAAAACTTTTTCCCGGTTGTTGACTTTTCACGGTTCTCCGGTATTTCCCGTATCACATTGGCCGGAAAAAGTGGCAGGAAGTTGGGAAAAATCTAAGAAATTTTCCTGCTTCTCCCGTTTCACATGTGCTTTTTACCAGAGCCCCCCCCCCACGCTCGACGGAATTTTTGGGTGAAAAACTGGAAAATGTGGGAAATTTGGAAAAACTGGTAGGAAGCTGGGAACTTGTAGGAAAGTGGTAGGTAGGTGTTCGGGAAGGAGGGGGAGTCGTACCGAGACCCTTCTTCGAGGGGGGTCTTACTAACGTCACCATGTCACACATCACGATGCTGTACCCTGGCTGCTGCAAACAGGATGGTTGAATCAGGATGAAAGACGGACATGAGTGGACATCAGATATGTTCTATCGAAAGTTCATTGAAGCCACAAAGGCATGAAGAATACTGAATAGTGTTGGGTATTCCTGGGAACTGCAGCTTAGAAAAAAGAAAGAATAGTGCACAGCGACGCGCTCGCACGGAAGGCGTGAGGCGCGAGTTTGAGTCCAGCTTGGGGTCAAGACATTTGCCCTTACCTCAGCCTACTTGTTACGAAAGAAACAACTAGAAAGAAGTCTGGTAAAAGAACACTTCAAAAAACAAAACTTAAAAACCTTAGAAGCCTTGTTCTGCTACTGCTCCTGATGAACAACTGTGATTTCTCGAGGAGGTAGAGTTGACAAAGTAGAAATAGTGGAAGGAAGAGTGGAAGATGAAGGAAAACTAAAGATAGTCCCGCTCTCAAGCGGTTCGTAGACGTCCTTCCCTGTACGAGTAGTACGGCCCTTACCTTATTCTCAAGACTGTCCCACTTTCACGGCTAATCATTCAGCAGCTAGGTAACGAAGGTGCTACGGCCCTCATAAGTGGCAATTATGACGCCTCCTTAGCTATAACGCCCGCCAAAAGTCAAAGGCCGTTTTCTGTCACGAGTTCAGTTTTACCCCGTGCTTTTCTTTTTTCCCACTGTCAGATGACACTAGCATTTGATGATGCGAAGAAACCATGAGTGAGCCAGATGCGGCAGGTAATCGCTTTCTGGCATAAACGAGCGGGTCCGAAGAACTCGTACAACGAGGCTCTCAGCTGTGCTTATTTAGGCTGTCCCCTATGATTTTTTTTTCTGTTTTTTCTTCCCTCGAAAGGCTCTTGGCGACCACAGGTTTGTAACTGACCACCATCCACATCCATAATGTCAACATCTCCCTGCATGGGTGCGCCCATTTTCGTTCCGTAATACTGAACACTGCAACCTTGCTAGTAAAATAATCACTCTCCTAGTTGGGCCTATCATCAAGATTCAGCCGGTTTTTATCGATTATGAACAGCAACACGTCCCAGAAAAGGGAGCTGTCACGAGCACGGCTGCACACCGTAACCTTTGTTTGTTAACGAGTGCTACAGAAAGTTGAGTCAGCTACCTAAAAAACGGTGGCTGAACATTCCGCATCGCTTCAACGCGGAGACCGAAGACCCAGGACCCAGAAGGGGAAGCTAGGCCCTGAATACAAACTCCAATAGTGTTCATGAAACGGAACTCCTTCTACGAAAGATTAACCTTTGCCAAGGTACCGTGGTGGCGCCAAAAAAACTCTGCTACTAAATATGGTTAACCTTTACGATTACAAATTCATTAACGACAATGGGCTCATGCGAAAAGAATAAATATACATATAAAATCAACAATAAACTATGTAAACAAAACAGATGATGGGATGGAAATCGAAAATACCGAGATTAAAGTGATCAGTGACAAGCAAAATAATGTCAGTGCCACTCACAATTATAACTGAGCTCAGTTACAAAAAAAAATTGGTGGAGAGGAGTGACTCTCCAGTATTGCATCGCAACTTAAAATCCGTAGGTAGTACTCGCTGTACTACAAATGCTACTCACGCAGGCTTTCTTTCAGTAGTTCCATCGGTCGACGGATACATCCATGTCTGGCTGATACGGGTTAGGGTAGTAAGCAAAATTTGGCCGCTGTGGCTGAAACATAAGGATGTAAAAAAGAAAAAATAATGAAGAGAAAATAAAATAATGTGCAAACTGCGAAAAAAAAAAACAAATGGACTCACCACTTCCTCAAAGGTATCGTCCAGGCTACGCCTTAGCCAGCAAATGTACAGCACTAGTAGTAGAAGGAGCTACAATTACTTCCGATGAGTTCTTTGCACTTTCACCGCATTTTCTTCTAATAGAGCTTGAAGACTTTTGAAAACTTGCAAAATTTTCAGCAATTATCAATCAAAAACAAATTTTCCAAAGATTTTCGAGTAAAATTTAGCAGACCCTATTGTTGCACGAAATCAAGAGTATCAGAGTTCAAAGCAGGTGGGAAAAGCGTTTCTATTTACAACGAGCTGGGGCGTGATAACAGTATGGTTGATACCCTTTAAAGCCTTTTCCGAACTATTTTAACAGCCAATAATTAATGAAAAGTGCCGCGAATGATGGGGCAGGTCAGGCGGGATGGGTTTGGCGCGGCCCCAAACCGTTTACGAAAAGCTGTTGGAGCAAGAAGCGATAAGGCTGCACCATATCGCTCACATAGATCGTTTTTCACCAATTCCTGTCGCATGACCCCTTCAAAGATTGGGGGAGAACGGGTTTGGCGGCTCGCCAAACTCATACTACCGAGCGCGCCCATTCATCAGCGATAGTGTAAAGAAAGCTCAGAACCACAAACATTAAAATGTACCGTAATCAGAATAATGAGCACAATGAGCAGAGCGCCAAAGAGCAGATCCGGTGAATTCGATTTCTGCAATAAATGACGAAAATAATGAAGAAAGGGACCATGTCAAAATGAAAGCTATTCCGCAAGCGCATGAGACTTCATGGTGTGTACTATTCAAGCAGGGGAACTCGGGCAAAACGATTACCAATCCTTCTTTCAGCATCCATTGCTCTCGATCCTGTAAACATGTTCTAGGATCTGCCAGTGGTCCATCTCGTATTTGACAGTAGTCCCAGTCCCTGTACAGGATTGAAGGTGCTTTACAACTCAAACAGAACTCACCACAAATATTTTATTTGAACTCACCGAACGATCATAATGTAAGGATTACTAGAATTCCCATCATTCCCACGATCATGAGCAAAACCACACGATATACCAGCTACGTTTTTACTTGAATTGGTAGTGGAACTGAAGAAAAGTAATGCCAACTGACCAAAAACTACAAAACCAAGCAAAACTGATCTATAGAAAGAAACGACATTATAAGGAGTTAAGAATCACTGGAGCTGTGGACTACGCGGGAATAACGGACCCGTCCGCTGTGAACTTTGACCCATCAGGAGAAGGGATCACGGTCTGTGCTAGGGTGGGAGGGCGGAAATGCACGCTTAGTCGCGCAGGCGTGTGCCGGTTACGCAGCTACTTGCCCTCTTGTCCACGGTCTTGTCAAGGCACGTCCTACCGTTGAGGAAAATTTTTGCAAAATAAGGATCTTCCCGAAACTTTCTCCTCTGGGGCGACTCCCTTC